TTGATCAAAGAAAAATGACATGCATAGTTGTAACAAGTTGTTATTAAAATTCCATGTCTAATGAAATGGTCAGAACTAATCTAAAAGTGATAAGAAATGCATCATTACTTTCATGCTATGATAATACTATAACACATAAAGAAGATTGGTTTACAATCAAGCTAACAAAAAAAGTTTCATGACTCAGCAATCAAAAAAGATAAACTCATGCCTTTTGTAGCATGGATGGAGCTGGAAGGGATCATGTTTAGTGAAATAAGCAGGAAAGAAAAGAAAAAAATACCGGATGGTTTCACTCATAGGAGGAGTATAAAGGATTGGGACGGGGGGGGGGTTATGGGGGGTAAGTAATGAACCATATACCAGAGACATTTTACGGGGGTGGAGTGGGGAATGGGATCAAAAATGGGGGGGGGTGCACTGAGCTATGGTGATGGCACATGGGTGAATTAGTGATGGGAAGTCCATGGGGATTACAACTGGAAAAAGGCACAAAATGATGTAAAAATAAACTATAATAATAAAATAAAAATTAAAAATATTTGCTAATAAGACACCTTTAAGAAAGATGTAAATTTTTAAAAAATAATATAATAGTTTATTTTTACATCATTTAGGATATAAATATTTTATCTTCTAAAATAAAGCAACTACATTCCACTCTCTAAAAAAAGTTTCATGATAATACTGCTGAATTAGTATTAGAATTAGTGCTGAGTGTTCCCATCCTAGAGACACACTGTAACACACTGAACCAGTAGTTAACAGTACCAGTACAGTAATGGTACATGTTGTAAACTTCAGGGTTTACTAGGAGGAGACAGCTTATGTTTTATCATTCAGAAATAAATCAATAAAGCGAGAGGAAGCTGATGTGTGCTTATGACATAGATAATAGTGATAGTTTCATGGGTGTATACTTATCTCCAAACTTACTAAATTGCATACATTAAATATGTACATTGTTTTATGTCAATCATACTTCAATAAAGCAGTTTTTAAAAGAATGAAGTCTAGGAACTTGCCATGCAACATACCAGATGCAGAGGGTTGAAAACTGCCTGAATGTAATGAGTCACTTTTACAGAAAGGGAAGCACCATCACGCACACATTTCACTACCTTCCACCCTCTTAGCAGATCCCTGTTTTGTAAACTTAAAGACACTTCCAAGTCTTTCATGTCTCTTCTGTGGTGGTGGTGGTGAGGATGGGGTGTGTGACTTTGCATCCACTAACTGTCCATACACATTGTGTTAAGAGAATCCATCACTGGTTATTCAGCCCTTGGAGTAGACTTGAATACATTATTTTTTTATTCTCTGGGAACTTGAATGTTCCCTGAGCAAATTTCTAAGGTAACATTTTTAGAAATGAGCCATAAAAAGTGTTTTATACAGGCCCTCCCTGGTGGCGCAGCGGGTTAAAGCACAGCACTAAGAAGCTAAAGCCACTTCTGCGTGAGTTCGATTCCCGCCTGCCCCGGAGGTGACCACTTAGCGCGGCAGACCTCTCCTGACCCGCCCTCTGCTCCCCTTAGCAGTGTACTTCGTCGATCTACCTGTTCTGCTCCCCACTCTGTCTCTGGTGAAGCCTCTCACCGCCTTTGAGCCTCTGGCCTGTACCCCAGTTCTGTATGCACAAATAAATAAATCTTTAAAAAAAAGTGTTTTATACAGTAAATTTCCATGTGTATCATAATCTAGATTTTAATGAATTTTCCTATCACTTTATGTAAAGCCTAGGTAATGAAGACAAGGGCTGGGATCAGTTCCATGGCTTCTGAACTTTCAAGTCCAAAAATCTGCAAAACTTTCACTAGACTAGTGACTAGGGACCAACCCCCTAAAGTCTGGAATATCTGGTCAGTTAACCTTGGAAACAGTGTCACAAAAATTAGAATCTCAGATGAAAGCTTGGAAAACAGAATAGAAGCTATTGATTATCTTTGATTCTGTTTGAATTTACCAGAAACATTATTCCTTAAATCTCAGGTGCAAGATAGATCTTTTCCATTAAATACAACAGATATGCCCTTGTAAATTGTGTTACAATCCCAAGATATAGTGGTAAATGAAGTTTCCTGTTGGCAAAATCCTGGGGAAGTTGTAAGACCAAGTCAATTAGTGGGAAATACTATATTGACTTTTCATGTACAAGTCTCTGGTTTCTGATTTCCTGAGTACCCAGGAAAGATCATTGCCATTGGAAATGAACACTTGATTAATTAGAACAGAGATATGCCTTTTAAAAGATTGAATTGCTGGCCTTAAATCTTCAAATTCAGCTCTGAAAGGGGAGACTACTCATACAATTCTTTTTTTCTCCTGGCAGTTGTGATTCTTCTTCTCTTGCCTTGACATGGCAAATTGCGGATGATCAAACTGTATGAATGGAGCCTGTGCAAACTGCCCTGCTGGTCCTGGCCTAGAGATTATAATCTATTAGCAGAAAAGCTGGGGGGTGGGGGTGGAGTTCCACAAAGTGTCAGCAGAGCACGAAATGTCTTCTTACTTCAAACAACTCCTGCAGAAGTGTGGTCTTAGTTGGAGTGGACATTCAGTTAGAAAAGTTGAAAATTAAAAAGTATTTAGTAGTAACCTGACACACCAGGTGTGTCAGGTGTGTCTCATTGCCACTGTGACTTCAGTATAACTCAGACTCCTTGTGTCTGATTGGCATGTCACAAATTGTGGTCATTCTCTACCTTTCTTTGGGACAGGTGTTGGGCTGCTGTTTTAGACTATTTTGCTAGAACAGAAACAGCAAAGCTTAGAGTGCAAGTGGCTCTGAGTCAGATTGGAGTCACATCTCCCAGTGAGACACAGAAGCAAAGTGGGTACCAGAGATGTTCCAGCAGGGAGTTATTCCAAGTCAAATTACCTCTTTTTTTTTTAAATAAACTTTTTTAAAACTGGCACTTGCATTAAGGGTTAACTAACTGGTAAAGTTGCCTTTGTCTTTTCTAAGTATAATAGGTAGGTAGAGTAGATATGTAGATAACATATGTACACATCCAAAATTTAGGAATTATAGAATTATAGAATCAGGAGTGGTTAAAGTTACTCTTTTTTGTGACTTCTTTCCCCATAGATCCAGTTTCCTATCTGTTCTATACATTTTTTGGGTACTTCTAGAGATAAACTATGCCTATACTCACCCATGTGTTATATGTGCATATGATTTTCCATACACATGATTTTATACTCTGTGCTTTATTTTCAAATCTAACATTATGATTCTAAAGCTGCCTTCATTTGTTTTGATGGCTGTATAATATTTCATTTTGTGGAGGTGCTATAATTTATTGAATCATTACAATTTATTGATAGGCTTTTAAATGTCCCCAGTGTTTTTATATTACAACAAAAAATCTGTAGTACATATCTTTGTGTGTGTGTGTATAATTTCAAATATATATGAATGCACTTTGCTTCCACTCTAAATATTATTTATATGTTTCCATTGTTAAGATCTTTCTTTAGATTTGCTGCCCAGTAACTTTACTATAATGTGTCTCAGTATTGATAATTTGATTTAATTTTCTTTCCAAGAATAAGATGGGCCATTTAAAGTTTAGATTCAAATGTAAATAAAAACCATAATGAGATACTACCTGTGAGAATAATCCATATAAAAAAAGACTAGTGGGCCCTCGCTGGTGACGCGGCAGGTTAAAGCACAGCACTGAGAATCTAAAGCCGCTTCTGCGTGAGTTCCATCCCCGCCTGCCCCGGAGGAGATCCACATGGCGTGGCAGACCTCTCCTGACCCGCCCGCTGCTCCCCTCAGCAGTGTACTTGCTGCTCTGCCTGTTCTGTTCTCCGCTCTGTCTCTGGTGAAGCCTCTCACCGCCCCTGAGCCTCTGGCCTGTACCCCAGTTCTGTATGTACAAATAAATAAATCTTAAAAAAGAAAAAAAAGACTAGCAACAATACATGTTGGATAAGTATGTGGAGGAAGTGGAATTGGTCAAGCTCCTATGAAAAACAGTATGGAGATTTCTCAAAATATTGGAACTAGACCTACCATATGATCCAGCAATTCCACTCGTAGGTATCAAAGAATTCAAAAGCACTAATTTGAAGGGATATGTAACTTCTGTGTTTGTTGTAGCACTATTTTGATAACCAAATAATGGAAATAACCTGAGTACCCAAAAAAAGATGAATGAATTAAGAATATGTACAGGATGGAATGATACTCACTATAAAAAAATGAAATATTGCCATTTGCGCCAGCATGGACAGAACTGGATGGGAATTATGCTAAGCGAAATAAGTATAAGGAGAAAGACAAAGGCCCCACGATCCCATTTATATGTTAAATATAGAGAAACAAAACAGAGGAATGGATACAACAAACCCTAGAAATCTGACTAGAGAATTGAGGCTACCAGAGGTAGAAGGTAGAAGTGGGGAATCAATGCATCAAGGAACCAAATGGACTCTAGTGGGGGATGAGGGGTCCTTGGCAGTGGGTGTGGTGAGGTAACATACATCTACAGAGGCATGAACTTGTATCTCTGAATTTATACAATGTTGTAAAACAACTTTAGCTTGATAAAAGAAAATTTGCATTCAAGTTTTCTGGATTTCATTCTTTTGTCGCCTATATTTCTAATCCTTGTTAACTTCTGTTTACTTGCATTTCACACTCACCTTTCTTACTCTTATCCACTTTCATACTGTGTTTCAATAAGGTCTATTGTTCTTTGTGCTGTTTCCAAAGTGATCTTCAAAACTCTCTGAGGATGTTTTTCATCTTCTATTTTCACTTCATCTTCCCTGGACCTTAATAACCCAATTTTAAACTCTTATTTTATAAGTCAGCAGCTCCACTTTCTTTTGTGAATTCATGGTGACAAACTTGATTCCAATGTTTGCATCTATACGTAGATCTATCATTTTTGCCTGATTTGAGGTGTCATGTTTCTGTTGCTGCCTTTCAAGTTGCCACTCTCCACCCACTCTGTTTCTTTTCATCTTTTATCTTTGTGTAGCTCCAGCTGGCTCTCATACAGCTTCATTAGGATGAGCATCCTACACAAGCAATTGCAGCTGGCATTGTGGAGTAGCGCAGCAGACAGAACCCTGCAAGAGGCTGGAATTCCTCCAACCACAGTCACATGGTGAAGTGATTCCTTTTAATCTTTTTCTCCTCCCACCCTCACCCCACTGAGATCAACAATTTGCACAGTTCACTATGCACTGTCCCTTGTCTCTACCTTTCATGAGCAAATGGGCTAAATACGGTTTGCCATTCAGTTCTGCTTCACATGTTTCTTGAGGATGAGAGAAAGGGGGCAATTATTTCTCTTTCTGCCATTTCAATACCAGAAGTCAACAGGATGATGACAACGGTCTTGAAGTAAAATAAGCCACACTGACACTCACTGAAATACTGGACAAGTCTTGAGGCATCTTTGAGCCTGCATTTTACTATCTGTTAAATAGAGATAATAATAAAGACTGTATAGCCTCATTCAGGAGGTTGCTGTGGAGAATAATGGCAAAATGAATGTGAAAGTAGTTTAAATTAAGTTCACTAAATGTCAGATGATATTACTATAACAATACAGTTTTGTTTGTTTGTTTGTTTGCAAAAGAAAAATTGTCAACTCACTGCCCACATAGTGCTGGCTTAAAAAGTTCTCTGTTCTCAAAAGGGAAGTTCATGAAAGTATTTGGCCCACTCTGAGATGTCCCTTGATTTCTAAGGGGATGTTTCCAATTCTGAAAGCACCTGCCCTTCCAAGGAGTTATCTTCATTTTTAAAGGGGTCAAATAAATCCCCTACAGTTTTTATTAACCACTTTTATCACCCTTCCTGATTACAACAACTTTAAAATGAGCTCTCTATTATTTGTAGGACACTTGTGAGAACCCAAAATAAATTATCTTAGAACTCAATAATATCTCCAAAAGTCAGTCTTGGGGAACACTCTAAAACATTTTTAAAATCTGGTACAAAGTACTATGTCCTTGGTCTAGAGTGACTTTCTCATACAGTCCCTTTAAGAAAAATTTCAGCTTTTTTTAGTGTTGCTAACCCA